AACCCTGCCTTTTCTCTTGGCCTGCTGGGTGCTTCAACTGAGCTGAGCTGCCCTGACAGAACCTCCACCTCACAGACACAATACACAACTAAGACTGGGATTGGAAATCAAATGCATTCATCACTCTTTAGTTCTTCTTCCTTCATGCACTCCTCACGTCTTTTTAACCAGCAAAGCAACAGCACATCAACAATTCAATGAGTGTTTACTTGCCCAAACAGAAACACCTGAGCATTTAAAGCTATACGGTATGGAAAAAATAAGCCAAGTCAACACAGCTGATGAAGGATACGTTGGTGGGCAGATTTAGTTGATCTCGTTAGTGTAATTGGTGTGGCGGATTAAATACATGTTGACAGCTCAGCCAGTGAATGAAGTCAATACAACAGCCTACAGCCCCATGCTATACAGGAGCGGCATTTACGTCATTGGGCTGCTTATGTAAGATTGTAAATCTTTCTTGCCCTGGTTTTCTCTAACTCTCTCTAACTGTGAGCAACATTAAGGGACATTGATGACCTATGGCTTTGCCTTGTCAGGGTGTGTTTTTGTCTCTCTGGATTCTTCAGACAGAAAGGCATTTTTACTGGTAGCTGCTATACCTGTGATGTGCTGTTGGCTTGTTATATTGGAGCATGGATTTTTTTCTAATCTGTTTGAATGAAGAATGATGGCTGGAATTGGATGAAAATGGATTTTCGGCAAGCGGAATGTCAATAAAGTGACTGAAATCACAGTTATGACACACGATTCATTGAAATTGGCCGATTACATAAAGTATATCACACTGTATTGGACACTTAAATCAGTTTCTAAAAGTTAAATCAGTTTTTGGTCATGGCAGCTTCAAGACAACTTTTCAATTTTAAAGATTTTTTCGCAGACTTCAACAGAGTGTAAGAATCTTGATGGTTCTGTGGGTCTCTTTTATCAAATCTGAGCTTTATTTTGTTTTCTCTATTGGATTCAAGTCAGGTGATTGGCTGGGCCATTCTACAGCTTGATTTTTTTCTTTGAAAGCCTTTGAGAGTCTCCTTGGCTGTGTTTTGGATCATTGTCTTGCTGAAATTTCCACTGATGAAGGGCAGAGGGTTGCTGAATAACTTCTGAGAGATTTCAGTTGCTGTCTGGGCTTTCACTGCCTTTCTGCACTTCCCTTTCTTTATGTGTTTAATACGTTTTTCTGTATCATTCAATTTTATTACACATAACTTAATTAGTAAACGAATTAGATTTGTCTTCTTTGCATATATTGATTTCTTTGGTTGTTACCAATATTCAGGGAACATTTCAAGTCAACAGCACCTTTAGAAATATGTTTTCTGAGAATAATGATTAAGTGTTGAATACTTATTTACCCCACTGCATAATAAATGGATTATTTTTATCCCTTCCTCAGAGAATATTAAATAAATATATTCTGGTGCATTTAAATAGAACAGATTTTTTGAACTTATATATTTATAAAAATAATATTTTAGTCACCAAACATCTTGAGAAATAGAAAGAAATATTGCAAAAAAAAAAAAAACATTTATAAACTACAAAATTTTATGTATTTTTTGTTTCTCTTAATTTTTGCTCTTTTTAAAAATTTTATTTAATATTTTTCCCTATATTTTATTTGAATATTTTTGGACCATTATCGTAAGGAGTTTTGTTGGATTATCTTCAGATTTGGCCTCAGTATTTACTAATATATATGCACAAATATATTATGGTAAAGCATCCCATATAAAATATAAATTTAAATGAGAGATTGGTGAAGGGTGTACTTATACACTGTATGTGTAAATATGTATACTTTTTAAATTTATAAATGTCTTGTTGCCCGAATTAATACGTTTGTATTTATTTAGATTGTCTAATTTTTATTTTAATGATTTACAAAATTGTATATATGAAAATACAGATAATTGTTTGAATTTCAGTAAGGTTTCCTTTTCTATTGTTCATTTTATAATAATAATAATAATAATAATAATAATAATAATAATAATAATAATAATAATAATAACAACAACAATAATAATAATAATAATAATAATAATAATTTTATTATTTTTATTATTAGTATTATTATCATTATTATCATCCTCATGATTATTATTTTTACTATAACCATTATTATCATCATTATTAATATTATTTTAATAAGAACTTGTCTTAGATTACTGACATTACTACTATCTGACATTACTAAAAGTGTCTTACAATGGTAAGGAAAGTTGAATGCATCCAGATAATGACTGACAATCAAATATTTACAAACGTGTGCGTGAGTGTAATTGTGACCTCAAAAGGTATGACTCAACTTGCAGAAAAAGACTAAAGAAATTGAGCATTGCTTTGCCCTCACAATGGTCTATTCTTAGGAACACAGAGAGAACAAAGGTAGAATAGAATGAATTGAACTAAACGGAGCACAGCCGAGTACCGATAATGAGCATGCAAATGTTTACTTTCTAAATGAGCAGCTGCATACTTCAAACCAGCAATTATGTAAGATGAACATATCCTCCATATGTTTCGGATCTGGGATGAATTCATTTGATATTTGCCTGACATTTAAAGGTGGTGTAATTAGCGTATGTAGGCCAATGCATGATCCCCAGTGCCAGAGACGAGAACTAAAAATATGGTACCGTTGTGTTGCCATGGTGAATTCAGTATTGGGTGAAGGTAAACTGTGCTGACAGAAAAACGCATAACGCTAAATCATAAGCATTTACACTGCCACACAACATGGATAAAGACACACTGGCCCTCATCCATGCTGTTACATCACATATTCACTGCGACAACGCAGACCACTGAGACATGCGATAATGCAGATGAAACAAGCAAACAGAGCAAATGATTAAACCCTCATTGTCCTCAAAGCCTATAAAGCCCAGTATTTGGCATCTGAAGCCCTCAGTGGAGTGGGTATGTTTAGGACCAGCTGCTCATCATTCACAATGCACAGACTGTATAGCATATTAATATGAGATGGTAAATAAATGAAAGCCAGTGAGAGTGAGTTGTTATTTTATATAAAATGACCACATCATTTGTAGTATGCTGATTTGATGTTAAAAAATTGTTTGTATCATATAAAAAAATCATCTTTTATGATTTTCACAAATATTTTATACAAAAAATATATAATTTAATAGCTAGAAGACGCAGTGGCTCTGTAGGTAGTGCTGTCATCTCACAGTAAGAAGGTCGCCTCAGCTCAGATGGCATTTCTGTGTGGATTGCTGCGGTTCTGTGTGGTTGCTGCGGTTTCCTTCACAGTCCAAAGACATGCGGTACAGGTGAATTGGGTAGGCTAAATTGTCCGTAGTGTATGAGTGTGTGTGTGGATGTTTCCCAGAGATGGGTTGCGGCAGGAAGGACATCCGCTGCTTAAAAACGTGCTGGATAAGTTGGCGGTTCATTTCGCTGCGGCGACCCCGGATTAATAAAGGGACCAAACCAAAAAGAAAATGAATGAAGGAATTAGGGAGCTAATAATTAGCCAAAACAATCTGAATCTGAATTGTGTTAAATTAAATTGTTAACAATTGTAAGTTAATAATACTGATTATGTCCTATTAGAAAATGTTTTGAATTTATATTTCTTAACTTGATTATTGAACATCTGAAATTTAAGACAACTTAATTTTTGAAGGCAGATTTTTATACATATTTTTAAACTTCCGATTTTTTTTGGTTCTGAATTTAAAGACTGCATATATTGGGTATATAAAAATACAGTTTTAGGTTTTTAAGAATTTAAATTAACACAATTCAAATTCAGATTGTTTTGGCGCTATTAGCTTCATACGTATTTAGGAGAAATTCACCCAGAATGCATCGTTGCACTGAAACGCCAATCCAATGACTGTAAAAAAAAAATAGCAATGCACATAAAATATCATGAACGACTGGTCATGAAAGTTTGGTTCTACACCCAAACAAAATGACTGTAAGCTCATTTCTTGAGATATCAGCTTTAGGTAGCAAAGATACCAAACTTTAAAACATAATCATCCAATAATTGGACTTTTTTTAAATGTATTTTATCATTTTTGGGTGAACTATCCCAATAAATCTATGCTCTAAAGTACTCAACAATTTAAATTGAATTGTCATGTTGTGTTTTTTAAAATAACACAATGGATTGAAATGTGTAAAAGTACATACAACATATATAAATGTAATTAACCGTGGTCATTAGGTACTGGAAAGCATACAAATGCACCTTGAAAGTGCTGGAATTTGAAGTTGGAAAAGTGAGAGTGTTGATGGTTCCATGAAGGGCCTTAAACTCCCATAAAACTTTTCATTTCACAAAATGTTGTCTATAGTCTCTTTGGATCATTAATAGTTTTTTTACACAAAAAAAGGTTCTTCTTTCTTCAAAAAAACTCAATAGTTTTTCTTTGGTTACATACAACTCTTTTGGAACCATTGCTTTTAAAAATCAGCTCTAGTGTGTTTGATTAATGCATTAATGGGGGGGATTGGTTGTTGTTGTTGTTGTCGTCGCACGCGTTCTGATCAGCTGTGTTGTCGCGCGCGTACTGTAAAGCGGGACGGAGGGTGTGTCGCGGGGGCACTTTTGATCATTTTGGAAGGGCACTTTACATCCAAGACTAAAAAGGGCATGTGCACTGCACAGGTTGAGCCCTATGTGTGCACGTGCCTGCTATGCAATGCAAACGTGCGTCATTGTGTGACAGCGATATAGGTCTATTTGTAATTGAGACATCTGAATTCTCAAACGGTCTGTAAAGAGGAAGAGGTCAGGCCACTTGGTTAAGGCACCTTGTGTTAAATGTTTCACAGAGAGCAGGACATTAGCAAGCTGAAAACTCATGCTAATGAAGAGCGATGTTATTTCCACTCTAGCCAATGCAGTCCACATATTACTATAGGAAAGAAGGATGAGGCTCTTCTACTTATTTAAAGCAACTAAAAATCCTAATTCTTCAACACATCATGCAAAACAAAAACCAAAGTACAAGTGCAGCTTTTAACACAAACATGTTTTATTATTCCTCCAACATACCGTGTACAACAGATAGAGGTATCTGAACATGTCAAATAATAATATTCATTAATATCATTATTGTAACATTAATAACATGGAATGTAGTTTTGAATCTCCATTCGCCTTTTCAATGTTTTTTCTTTTTAGTTTATTTAGGAAATATGACAAATAAATAAAGCTTTACTATAGTCTCTTTATGTCAACTAACAATCTGAATATAGTTGTCTCTTCACGATGGGTAAAGGTGCAAGGGGACAGTGCTGTAGAGTAACACTTAACAGTCTTCCATTTCACAACCTACCGTTCCTTCATCCAACAAGGAGCGCTCGGAAGCTAATAAGTTCCGGAACCTTCTCACAGAGTGAGCACTGGAACAAAATCAGGTCCTTTTTGTAATCAGTAAATAACCATTAACCTTCAATAAATAGAACAAAAAGGGCAATGGCGTCAATGTTGTAACAGTACATAAGGGAAGTGAGTGAAGCTATTAAACACTGAGGAAGTTGTCGATCTCAATGTTAGTCTCTCGACCCTTTTTTAATCCGCTACGCACACAAAAACAGACACCAAACACAACTGAACAGGTGGAGCTCTGAGATTTTACTGAGCCGGACGTCATAATGGATTGAATAAACAAGGAAGAGAAAGAGAACAAAGCATTTCCCCATTTGAATGCCATGCTGGTTTGAACGAAGCGGTGGTTTAGTCTGTGCTGTGGTCCTCAAGTTGGGAAATTATGGTGATGAGGTTTTCCAGTCCGAAGATGTAACCGCTATCCTGGCCCTCGTGGACTACACTGTCCTCCCCGTAGTGCCTACATGTGGTGTGGGCAAAGTCAATCATGCGTACGTCTACGGCCGGCCCGCTGTCTGACCTGGCCATCCGTCGCACCACCGAAGAGCTACTGGTGCTGCTTCCACCACCGCAAGCGCCACTGCTGCTACTGGCTGCACCTGCACCATGAGGAAAACCAAATGCAGCTCCCTCTTCTTCCTCCTCCTCCTCTTCCTCTTCATCATCGTCATCATCTTCTTCCTCCTCCTCTTCCGAAAGCCCATCCTCAGCAGAATGGCGTGTTCGTGGCGGGTCTCCGTCGTAGATTATCAAGAGTGAGCTAGAGTAAAAACGGTAGCTTTCGCAGGCCTCCAGCGCAGCCTGCATGTCTCGCAGCCTTCGCAGAACTGGAGATAAGAGTTCACGTCGTAGGCGTCTCCCGTCGTGGAAAAACTGAAAGATGGCCTCTTTGAAGCCAGACAGGGTCAGCTTACGGCCGTGGTACTTGTTCATGAACATTAGCTGACCTGTGGCAGGATGATAGACCTGGAGGAAAGCAAAGAGGAGTGAGTGAATAATACAATGACTTTCTAATATTTGCCTTGTGGATTAGTGTTCGAGAGCCGCGCTAACCTGCATGCCACAGAGGCGGACTCCAATGCTGGCAGATGTGCTCTGCTGACACTTGCGGATCTGCATGGCCTTCTTCTCTTCAGAGGCGTCATCGCCATGCTGCCTCGTGCCCATCTTCAGATCAAGCACACAAGGAACTGCGTAGCTCCATGTCAGGTTTTCCAGCAGGATGAATTCTGATAAAAGGGTTGTGGGTTAAGGGATATACAGACTTCTCAATATTATAACTTATATATTAAAATATTTAATATTAATATGAATAATTAATAGTATTTAATAGTAAAATCTTAGTTTTTGTATCATGATGAATATACCTTAATTTGGAATGAACTTACGCCACATTCAGGTCAGCAACAACACTTTTCATTCACTTTGAATGAGTGACGTCAAGCCTTGCCAAACTGAATTGTGGGTAAGCCGGCACTGCTTCAGCAGCGTTGCTCGCTGCAAAAGTTGAGAATTTCTCAACTTTACAAGCGCCTATGGACACGTCAGCCAATCAGATCACTTTATGCAAATTTCTCCAGCTAGTTATATTGTTTTGTATTGTTTTAGGTGGTCTGGGTTTTGCGTCTTTAATAAACTATGACCGTTTGCATTCATTAAAGAATGAAGAATGATTAATAAATCGACATGAAATAGTTCCTTAATAGTGATGTTGCCTCTTCAGTTTCAGGCTCAAAAAAATTTGCACTCACACTACAAGCATACCGTGCCAAAGCCTTAACTGCGCTTTGGCTTACCTTCTCCAACCAGGCCAGGGTCGTCCAACTGAACCACGCCTGGGTCCTATTTGGAGCACTCACACTTGTCAAAGATTTGGGAAACGCCCCCCAGGCACAGTTCAGATAGCCTAGTTTGAGTGCACTAGGGCTATGCGATTCATTGAAATCGAATCGCAATTTGAAAAGCTGCGATTAGTTAATCACAAGATGCTGCAATATGAAATATGTACGCATTTATTAATTTCCCTCGCCCAGAGCAAATGTGTAACTGCCGTCTGTGTGTGACAGTCTTACTAGCCAATTGAGTGAGCACAATCAGAATTGTGCAAGCAAACTATGCAGAACGCCCACAATAAAAATAACAAAAGAAAAATAAACAGGAAAGCGCGGACAAGCGGGATTATGGTGTCTACTGCTTCAAAACCATTAATAGACAAATTAATGCCAAAGAAAAACAGCATTGGTAATATGGGAATATTTTGGTTTCAAAGTCACAGACACCGAACAAAAACAGGTCATTTTTAAGAGCTGTCGCAGAATTGTTGCAAAGACTTACAGATTATTCAATCTTAATCTTTACTACAAAATTAAATCACAAATCAAATCGGAATCGAAATATCTGTCAAAACAATGAAATAAAAACATGAAATATTATCTTCCCCAAATCGCACAGCGCTAGAGTGCAGTTACAATTTTTGTTGTCATTGTAAATTTACATATGAAAGAAGTTTTGTTATGTGCTGAGGTAGTCGTGCTGCACTTTGAATATCTAAAATAATTAGTCATTTATTTACACACAGACACACACAATGACTTTAAGTAACTGTTAGGCACAACAGGCATTTATGTAAAATGCAACTGATTAAGGCACTTTTGTCAATGATAATTAATTACTAGCATGTATTGCATTATGTATTTTTTTAACACACACACACACACACACACACACTTTATAAATAACTTTTTATACTACAACTACAACCAAATATTAAAAAATACAATACACAAAATGATTTACTTGATAGCAATTACAGTAATGCTGTGATAACCGTATTATTTTGAATAATATAGATCAAAATGTTTTTTATTTCTGTGATGGTAAAGCTCAATTTCAGCAGGCAGTTTGCAGTATCACATGATCTTTCAAAAATCTTAATTAGCATATTTATTATTACTTATTACTGTTATTATTATCATGTAACTATGATGGTTTTTATTAATAATGTTAATTAATGCTTAAATATTTTGTACTAAAAATATCCTTCTCTGATTATTTGACAATTCTCTTTCATTTGTAACATTATCCATGTCAGGCAACATGCAGGATTGAAGGATACTGTATTGATTGCGGTGCTTTGCGTTCTCCTTCATCCTCTGCAGGTGCTGTTGGTGGCACTTAAGGCTCCAGGGGTTGTGCTTTAGCTGAGGGCCGGCAGCATTGCTCCTCTCCAGGCTGTAGTAGAAAACCTCGGCCTGCTTGAGCCATTCCAGCTCCTCCTCGCGTTTCACACTGGCAGGGTGAAGACAGAGGTGGGTCAGCCAGACAGACAGATTAGGGCTACTAGCTGGATCAGACTACTTGATGAACTCAGCAGGCTTTTAGGGGATCTGAACTAACACCCTAGCACTGCAACCACCCAAACAAGGTTAATGCAACAAGCTAAAAGACTTCAAAATGTTTTAGTCATCTGAAATCAACAGAAATATGCTTGAATGTGTTCATACACTGCAAATATTGGTTGGTGAATGCATTCCTTGTTGTACAGTAGCCCATTACACACGATTCCTAAAATCCTAAACTCTTCACAAAGAACAAATGCTTCTTTTCTGCCCTTTTACCCCTTCCCCAGTCAGTTCCTGAGGTCACCCGTAAGTCACAAAGCTACGCTGCTTACATAACATTGGCTCAAAACACACATTTGCACCAGTCCGGCTGCCAGGAGCTGAGAGTGCATCTGCTCTACCCAGCTGGGTGTTCTGGGTGTGAGTGCGCTCAGCAGCTCCTCATGACGACAAGAACACTACCATCGGTCACATTCTCATTGAGTCAGACAAGTACTGAGCAGCGCTATTATAACAGGAGAACACAGCCCAGTATTATCCGAGAGATGTGGGGCAGTGTGGCCTTGGCGATAAAGCTAAGTGAATAGCTGATGGTTCAATTCAGAGGGAACAGTACATGATTTATTAGTAATCCATTGTTCCCTGCAGCATCTGCTAAATGACAAGTACTTTTTCCAAAGCTTTGGCAGACAAAGTTTTATTTTAGGGGCTCATAGCTGAATTCATAACAAAAAGGTATTAGTAAGTTGATATTGTTTAATAATTGATTAAAAATATTGTTTATTTAAGGGTGCGTTCAGACTTGGAGTTTGGTTCTGTCCAGAAAAAAAAAAGACATTTATTTCTGATTTACTTAGCAGTCATCTTAATTTTGAAGTTGTAACCAAAAGAAATGAAAAAATAACGTGTACTTTGTGACAAAACATACTAAACCTATGAAGAGTTTAAAATTGATGGTGGGAATGAAACCATTTCATCACATACACCAACACAAATTGGCTTAAAAAAATTTTGTGCAACATTCTTTCTGACTTTAGAAATACATTTTACACAACCGATTTAAAAAAGACCCTAAATCGGATCTGTGTCTGACTGGAATTTAGTGTAATGGTGCTAAGCAGCATTAAACACATAGAGCAAATACAAATTTATGCCGCTTCACGTTTGCTTTCTGTGCCACTTTGCTGTGTAATAACAGGGTATATGCAGGAATCCTAAAGGTAATCTCAATACCTTATTTAGACTTTTTAAAGATCTTCTTAGAATATTTTAAGACCTCATCACCACTTCAAGTTCTAATCAGCATCAAACCTTTAACTTAATAAACAGTTGTGGTTAAATAAATCACTTGAGCACAACAATGCAACAGAACTCAGATAAGCTCGGAAGAAACAAAGCTTGAATTAATAAATTATTTAATTAATAAATTATTGTTTAAATTAGTCTTTCTCCAACCAGGAATACGCAAACTTACATTTTCCCATCTTGCCGTCTGTTTCATTCTACAATTTTGCTACATGTAATGAGCGTCACATCACCTTCTAGCGTTTGTTGCAAATTATGTGGCATCACCTGGACGGAGGAGCTTGGCTGGACGTGCCCGGCCCGAACCAATGGCATGGATCAAGAGTGCCGTTGTTAATATTAAGAGGAAAATAAATATATTTATGCTTTTTGGAGTCAAACACTTTAGACAATGCTTAAAATTTAAGCAATTAAGACTTTTTAAGAACTTATAAGGGCCTTAATTTTTTCATAATTGATTTATTAAATTTTAATACTTTTTAAGATCCTGCGAACACCCTAAAAGATGCTTTGTGATGAGGAATCGGTAACTCTTCAGAGCATTCTGTCCCTTGTCTGTCACATGTGAAATTGTGTATGGTTTTCGGTTTTTTAGATGTATATGTCCCATGCTGAACTCATATTTCTGTTAAACCACACCAGAATTTGTTTAGAAATGGACTAAGACTAACCCTTTTGGGGGTCTTGGAGGATGTTCGCATATTGCGTCTAAAACGCCAGGCAAATTGATTCCTTGACAATTTTTAATGCACTTTGCACTCACTTGGCATCTGTCATTGCTAGGCAACCATCTACCATTTTTCCAGAGGATGACAAACTATTGCTGCAGCTCTGATACAAGTTTTATGTATGGCGAATATGGAAAGAACTGCAGTGTTTAAGTGCTCAGTGTTTGTCTGAGGTAATTACTCTACCGTTTTTACTGAAATGTGTTTATTCCATTCAAGGTATGAACCTGAATGGTTAGTTCTAGTCACATAACTCATGTTGTGCTTGCGGCATTCTGAAAAGTTGAGATGTTTTTAACTAGGAGCGCCTAGTTCTCCATATTTGCATGCCTCCATTGGAAATAACAAACTTGCATGTGCAAAAGACACAATATGCGAACAGCCCATTATTCTGCTTGCTTGTTGTGCGACAGGGTTTGGATGGCAGCATTTAACAGACCAACATCACAAAACATTTACAAATCTAAAATGCTAGGAATAAAAAGATCTATTATACATAACAACAGGCCAACTGCTCAATATAATATCTCTCTTACCTCTTGTCCTTATCCTTTCGAGCATGTCTGGACCTCTCTTTGCTGTAGCTGTCATTGTCCAGCAGCATCTTGGAGACCCATGTTATTTTGTTATTGGGTTCCAGATCAGCCGAGGGGTCCACGTTCTCCAAGTCCCCAAGCTCATTGTGCAGAGGGTATGCTATAAGACACAGATTCCCTTCTTCATCCTCCTCGAAACTCACTGACACCACACCTGCAGAGACAGAAGAGAGACCAAAAAAATTAGATCAGAGGTGAAATCAAAGTAACTTCACATGAGCAAACAGGAAGCAGTCTGAGTTTCGAGCTTAAAGTAAACTGTCTTGGAAATCTTTAACATCTCTTACCCACTTCTCTTTTTTTTGCGCTTAAAAGCTCGCCAGTCTTTAACAAAAGCTACTGAGCCGACAGCACGGGCTGCTCCTAACCTGATAGGAATCACACAATCCATAACAAACAAACAAGACAGAAATACTTGGAAGACAGAGAGAGAAAGAGAGAGAGAGAGAGAGAGGGACAGCAAAGGGAGCTGATGGTTGGGAAGAGAGAGGAAATTCTAGGAAACAACAACAACAAGAGCAGCCAATGTACAGGAGCTGTGACTTCATCAGTTCTCAATCTGTCACAGCAAATCACATGAAATGTTTTCCTTCAGTCAGTCAACAACACACAAGAATCAAATCCAGCCAAAAACAAAGACAAGAGGCTAAAGATATCATTAAACCAACACCATTTATTGTCAAATTTAAAATCATATCACTTCATCACTCCAATTTAAAAATGGAAATGCCAGAAGCATCAGATAAAACAATGCACCAAAACATGGGGAACTTTTTAACTCCCTGCAGAAAAATGTAGACAATTACAAGAATGCACCATGAACCTCCTGCCCCAAATAGCCTAAAATGTCTTAAAAGGTGTATACAAAACACATATTCTCAATAAAAATACTAAAACTTGCATATTCAGATTCATATGAAAGGGAATAGCAATAATTACAATAAAGATCGAAGTATTTTAGAATTATAAACCTATAAGTCTGCCCTTATCAAAGTATTTTAATCAAAGAATATGCAAGAAATACAACCGATTTGGCAGAACTACATAGAAGTTTCATTCACAAATTATAGATCTTTTTTGCATGACTGAAAATTCAAAATACAGAGAATAAGACATTTTAAAAACATTTTAGTAAAGAAAATGTGCTGTATGAAAGGGAAGAGAACTGCTTAATGCAAAAAAAAAGATGGCCAGTCTCACTTAAATCTCCAGTTCAAAATAGTTCTGACAAGTGGCCAATTCACTCAATATGATACATCTCTAATAGTAATTTACAGAACTGAAAAGAGAAATACATTTCAAGACACCATAAACAACCACAGAGATTATGCCCAAGCTTCTGTTTTGACATCATACCCATCCCCCAAGCTCACCCAATAAAATACAGAAGTCCTGCACACTTATGCACTGGATAGCATGGCAACAAAAGGGTTTGAACACTGCAGTGTGCATCCATGGCAGTGTATATAGTGGGGTTTTTTAAAAAACCGGGGGAAAACAGGTGGACAAGCGAAAATCAGAGCCAGTCGAACTTGTCTTTCAAGATGGATCCCCATGAATGACAGCAAATCTTGAAATCCCAAACGTGCCAGTGACAGTCCATGATGTCTCGAAAGCAAGTTCAATCAAAAACATTTGCCATTGTCGCTTATTTTCAAGCTTATTTCCAGATTTTTCATCTTCAAACGAAACCCTGACACAATATGTAGCCTTGCCAGCAGCTGCTGTAACTTACCTTTTGGGGACCTTCACAAGCAGATAAGTACACCAACATATTTAAATAAATTCAAATATGACTTTCTTACTTCTTTAGAACACAAATTGTTCAGTTTCATTAAGAGCACATCTATTTTTCTGTTCCACAAAACAAAGAAAGTCATTTGGGTTTGGGGACTAAATGACAGGAAGAAAATAATATCAAATCTTCATTTTTGTTTGTGTTGTCTCTTTAACATTTGCACACTAACAGCGCCCCCACGAGAAATCAGCATTTAAAAGGAACAACACGGCAGCACTGCTGGCTCTCATTCAACGTGATGGTTTGAACATCATACACACCGAGACATATCACATTGCACGCGAATGACAGTCGTGAAAGAGAAGGGAACAGCTCTAATAGGCAAGAATATACATTTATATACGCCACAGTATTCTACTTACCTCTGTATTGCGGGGTGAACTTCCGCATAGCCGCGGGGAGGCTCTTATAAAACTGGTGCTCCCGGGGGATGAGGGGCTTGCATATCGTCTGCTCCCCGAAGCGGAGCACACACGAGTGTCCCCCCACCTGGTGCACAAAGGGCTCAAGGAGCACCCCTTTGCCCAAAAACCCCTGCGGCTCTGTCTGCATCCCTTCGATGGCTGGGCTCATCCTCCGGGGGCATTAGACTCTCACTCCTGGTCCAGTTGGACACCACAGATGCGTAAACGGATGAGAAGGACGAGCTGGCCTCTCTATATTTCCTTCGGTCTTATTATCTTATCCCGTTTAAAGCTATCGTTTGCTCGCGTTACCTCCGCCGTGCGTTAGAACACTGCAGGACATAAACAAAAGAAAGAGGAAGAAGGAAGACCACGACACGACAGAAAAAAATAACAGCTCTTTGTTTCGATTCAGGTCTTTTTTTATGACACGAATTACAAAATTCGTATCTTGAAGTGCTCTAGGTTTATTTTAAGGGCGAAATGTCAGGGATTAATTCGAGAATGAGCCGTTTAAATGCCTGAGCTTCTGGTTCTTTCGCACAGGCTCTTCTACTGACACCGTAATCTCTCGCCGAACTGAGAAAATGTCAGCGCCGCATCGATGGCCCCTCCTCTAATGTCAAATCGGCCAATCAGAGCGCTGGAAATGGTGTTGGGTGGCAACCACCATACAGGCCAGAATGCGAACAAAAAGAGTGAGGAAGGGTGGGGGAGGGGAGGAAGTGGATGGAAAACAGTCTGGGGAGGAGGAGGGGTGAAGCTGGACAACTCAGCTGTTTTTCTACGTGTGTGACATGGATGGTTAAGTGTTTTTAAAGTGCACATTTTAGGCACTCGCAAGACAAGGGTCATGACATGAACATGCAGAAAATGGGGGAAGGAAACGAAAAGGCTGAAATGAAAATGACCTAACTAGCAGAAAACACTGACATGGCGTGGAAAATTTCCATGGAGCCATCAAAACCAATACAGACAATTTTTCAGTGTTTTTCACCTTACAAACAAAATGTTCATAACTAAATGTTGTATGGCTTTTGTAGCCTCAGATTAGAGATATTTCAACCAAGGTGTTTGTGGCATAAAAAATATCTGCTAGTTAACAGTTTGAGTATTTTGTCGTTCACAAGTGTTTTCCATTTATTTATGGTTGTGAATTGCATTATGGGACCTTGATCACTGCTCTGTCGACTCTTGAGTTTGAAAAATTCAACTTTACAGTTTAACAAAGTAACTTTTCTTGACATTTTAGCAGTTTGAAATAACATAACGTATACGAAATATTTATATAATTATATAATTATACAACATAAGAAATAGGATATAAATAAGCCAATATAAAAGAAAATGTACAAGCGGTTTATTACAAGATTTTTGTACTGTAATATACAACACCAACTCAGACAATATATCAGTTTAAAGTTTTAAAATGTAATAAAAACACTTTTTGAACTTTTGAAGGTTAAGAAGACAGATTGTTAATGCAAATCAAATGCAAAATAAACAAGGGGAAAAACATTTAGGTGTTAGATACATATCCCACTTTAAACAATAAGCTGTGCAATCATATAGTTTGCATTTTCAGAATCAGAATCTGCTTTATTGCCAAGTGTGCTTTAGATACACAAGGAATTTGTTTATACAGAAGTTTCCAGTGTACATAAAGTGACAAGTGACAGCACAAAATTAAATGAGAAAATATGACAAACATTAGACAGAGATGCAATTAGACAAAATAACTGTGGATGATGAATTGTATGGAGATTTGTTATGGAAATACAGGTTATAAGGTGCTGTGTACAAATGCGTATGTGAAAGTATTGCATTTTGTGGCAATGTTTAACATAATTAAAGAAGAACCTAAACTTTACATTACACCAAACTAAATTAAAGTGTTCCTCATGCTAATAAAACATGTTTTTTTAAGAACTGTTGTGAATGAGTGTGTGTGGATGTTTCCCAGAGATGGGTTGTGGCTGGAAGGGCATCCGCTGCATAAAAACGTGCTGGATAAGTTGGCGGTTCATTTCGCTTTGACGACCTTGGATTAAAAAAGAGACTAAGCCGACAAGAAAATGATACAATGTAAGAATGAATGATTGAAAAGGCTTTGGTGACCTTAAAATTATTATTCTTTGCAATAACTAGAAAAACTCTATTTGGACACTTTATTTTTAAGAGTTAAATAATTTATTTTTAAACAAAGTTGGGTATACCGATAGTATTTGATTTGTTCAGTGGTGGTGACATGGCAAGTCAAATTTGTATGATGATGCATATTCTTTTTTAAGACATTTATCTGTGGAGTAAATAAAAGCTTAATATTTATAGGCAACATAACACATTTAGTCTCCTACAGTCTAGAAGCCAACTGTGGCTTGCACTTTAAAAGTAAAGAACATGCACGTGAATTGCTATTGTAGGAATAGTCTGATTTTATCTTTGCTAGTTTTATCTTTGCTAGACAAATATAGTGCACTCAGATGAGATGAAAAACAGGTGACGCATGATACAATGGACTTCAAGAACAGGGGATTACCTTTGTGGATCTTTGTGCCAGTTATTCAGAAAAATAATCTAATAGGGTGTCTGTGGACATATGTTTATTTTTCATATAATTATGATGGAAGTGTTTTCATTTTATTTTTAGACCATAATCATGAAATGATATCAGTGCAAAAAATAAAAAGCTGGTGATTAGTAAATGGGCCACCTGACCATATGTTTTCCTCACAAAAGAAATATATGTGGTTTGATGAGGGATGGATATCATCAACAGTAGGAGATTTGCAGTAGCAATGGACCACAGGCAGAGGTTTTGACTTTAATCTCTCTTTAATCCTGCCTGCTGGAACTCACGAGTGGAAAAATGGGGCATGGAAAAAGCATGAGAGAAGAATGAAAAACATGAATTACCACTAAAAGTTAAGGACCCCCCCCCCCCCTTTCTGAAGCTGATTATTTCTCATTGAATATTACTTATAGACAATCCATTAGCTTGACCATTTTCTAAAAATAACATTGGGAGTAGGTGGAGGGAATAGGTTTTCCTTTTAATGAAATATTTTGCATGTACATTTTGCATTTGCATTAAATAGAAATAGCCTATAGGCTGTCAAGCTGAAAAGACAAAAGCTCCATAAAAATAACTTGTAATTATGGTTTTATTTAATTTTAATTACCCCTACTTTAAAATATTTGCAGTTTAGCTTTCTATTTTCATAACACAGCTTTTCAATTTTAAAGTTGTTCAAAATGATTTTCAGTCCATTTTTCTGTCTTAAAAATGATAGATTATAAGACAATTAATCATGCAAGTTACTAACATTGTTATGTAACCGATACGTTTAAAACCTGCAAAATGCATATTACATTTTGTTCATGTTATGTAATCATTTCCAAATTTTCTTAAGATTTAATGTGAATATTTAAATAATCTAACAACACATTTACGTGTTCATTTTTTATAATAATATTTATATATATATATATATATATATATTAGAACTGAGTGTTACATGTATTTTGTAATCGGTCACAATATCTTGAAATAAGAAAAAAAAGGCAGACATTTGAGTTGTTATTCTCTGTTATCTATCTATGTTATATATTTTGCATTAGCTGCAATTTCTGTGATACAAAGCTTGAAATATTAAAACATCATTACCAGAGTGCAGGCACAGCAGTGTCAAAAGAGCACACGATTCATTTATTCATTAATGGAACAAATGCAAATTGAGGGGTGGTATTCCAGTGGTCAAAGGTTTTGACCAGTGACACAAAAGCCTGACACCTCTCTGAGACCTGTGAACCTGAGAGTCCCTGAGAGAACCATTGTGCCTTTAAATAGGCTACGTAGCCTCAAATGGCTTCATGTGCAGGACCGTCCTTGATATTTTTACACAGCATATAACAGCATCTGCTAAATTGCAAGTAATTCATCACTGAACTAAACAGATTTACTGCTATTAAGATCTGTACAGATCAGTATGTCTTTAACAACACATTCTCTGTTAAAGTAAGCATAGAAGACAGTCTGAACTGCTGACGAAGTGAAACACCAAACTTGAAATGATCTGAGATGGAACAGAAAGTTTCGCCAATTGCTCTATGTTGATTTTTAGATATGAAGCATCCAGCACACTCGATTCTGCTGATATTTACGTTTACGCATTTGGCAGACCATTTATTTCAAAGCAACTTACATTGCAGTGAAGGTAAACCTTTTTTTAACAGTTATGTCATTTTATTTATTTTTAAGTTAATTAACAGTTTGCATATTTTGTGATTCTCAAAAGTGTTTATTTACAGTTGTGAATTGCATTATGGCACTTTTATCTATGCTCTGTCAACATTTAATGTTAAAAATTAAACTCTACAATTTGACAAAATTACTTTTATTGACATTGTAGTAGTTTGAAATTATAGAATGAAAAAAATTGTACAGAAATAAGTCTGTAAAATAACTGAAAATATACATGCAGTTTATTACAAGGTTTTTGTACTGTAATATACACCAACCTAGACAATATATCACTTAACTATTTAAAATGTTATAAAAAGTCACTTTTTTGATCTTTTCAAGGTTAAAAAGAAAGATCAAGATTCCATAATGCAATTCAAAAGCAAAAAACCTAAAAACCTGAATCACAAAATTTGGAAAACTGCTAATTTAGGGAGTTTTTTAACACTATGGATTGAACCCAAAACCTTGTCACTGCTAGTGCCTT